TGTATTTATACTTACAACTTTAATTTCTAACAAAATCAAGCAACTTATTAATTCCTTAAAAATAAATTACTTTTTGAATACACCTAAATTTTGTTTGACTTTTAAAAAGTCATAATTGAATACACCTAGATTTTGATATTTTTTTTAATGTCAATTGAAATTTGAATTGAATACACCCAAACTTTTAAAAACTCTTTTAAAATCTAAATTGAATATACCCAAACTTTTAAACTCTTTTAAAATCTTAATTAATATACTTCCCTAAAGAAAGAAAGAGATATAAATTTACAAAAATGCCCTTAAATTTAACGGATTAACGGGTATTCGCGAATTGACACGACACGACCCGTTAGCTTAACATGTGACTAATAGGTTAACACGATGTCTACACGACACGATAACTTGGACCTGAATACTGATTTTTTTTTTTTTTTTTTTTTTTTTTTGTGAATTCGTGTCGCGTACGATATTGCCAAGTCTATCCTCATATATGCCATGTTAGCAAATTAATAGAACTTGACGATAGGTATTATTTGGTGGCAAACATAATAACCTTGATGAGCATAGATGAAAATAAAATAAAATGAAGGACGCAATTTCGCGAGCCTCAGACACGTGTTGTGATATAAAGCCCTTTCGATAACAGTAGATCTGAATCGTACCTAAAACCATAAACCCTAACCCTTCTAGGTCGAAGCTGACAGTTTGGCCTCCGCTCCTCTCAAACTCTCAACTCTTCAACCCGTCTCTCTGTTGTAAGGTAAGACGTCTTCAAACACCCTCTTTCTCTCTCTATCCAATCTCTATCACCGTATTGTTAGTATTTTTTCATCATCTTTGGTTATGGTTCCAGCCAACTGAAGACATAGGGTTTTGTGTTTGGTTTCAGTTTGTTCGAATTTCATTCTGTTTTTGTGAAAATTATACCATTTCTTATCAAGTTATAATTCGTAACTAACCCAAGTTTCAATTTTCGTTGGAAATTCTCTTTTTATAAGCAGCTAAACATGCCTGTTTTTTGCCTTCTTTTTCATTAGTATAGTTAATCCAGTTTGCATCTTATGTACGCATGTATCGCGAATTATGATGCTTTGGGGACCATATTTTCTGTTGTTGTTAAATTTGTCATAGTAAAAAGAAAGTCAATTGTTTTACTGCTTGCCTGGTTGTTTCTGAGTTCTGTCAAATGCGAATTAAACCACATGATCCACCGCTTGTGCAGGCCCCCGTCAATTCCTTTGAATCTTTTATTTTTGAACTTTCAACTTTGTTATCTGGTGTTTTGGCATCTATTACTTTTTCATGATGAATGTTATAAATTTGGTGATGAAATTAGTGTTTAATTATTTCAGTAGAATAGGAGGTTCCACTACATGTATTTAGTTGTTTCTGCCTATAGAATCCATGTTAATGGTGATTCTGTATGCCACATGTTGGTCGGTATTGATACATGTTATATGCATTTGTCTGGTGGCTGATGTGGTGTTGGTGTGGTTGTTGTCATTTTTGGGTTGAGAAATTGACTCTTGTGCCTTAAAAAATATCGTGAATATAAATCAGATGTTTTAAATCAAGTGATTTTCTGTGAAGATCAGTTTTTGAAATGGTTTCTACTTTCAGTGTGTGGTAATCAACCTTGGTGTTAACTTGATATTTATATATATATATATATTTTTTTTGTAAACAGTCCAATAAGTAAACATGGTGCAATATAACTTCAAGAAGATGACTGTTGTACCGAGCGGGAAGGACTTCATTGACATTATCCTGTCTCGCACCCAGAGGCAGACTCCAACTGTAGTCCACAAGGGTTATGCTATTTCCCGCCTCCGTCAGTTCTATATGCGTAAAGTAAAATATACCCAACAGAATTTTCATGAGAAGCTCTCCACAATCATTGATGAGTTTCCTAGGCTGGATGACATCCACCCTTTCTATGGCGACCTTCTTCATGTTCTCTACAACAAAGACCATTACAAGCTTGCACTTGGCCAGATCAATACTGCAAGGAACCTTATTGGTAAGATTTCCAAAGATTATGTGAAATTGTTGAAGTATGGTGATTCACTTTACCGATGCAAATGTCTCAAGGTTGCTGCTCTTGGCCGCATGTGCACGGTTATAAAGAGGATTGGTCCTAGTTTAGCTTACCTAGAACAAATTAGGCAACACATGGCAAGGTTACCTTCAATTGACCCTAATACCAGGACAGTATTGATTTGTGGCTATCCGAATGTTGGAAAGAGCTCATTCATTAACAAGATCACTAGGGCTGATGTGGATGTCCAGCCTTATGCTTTTACCACCAAGTCACTCTTTGTGGGACATACAGATTATAAATACTTGAGGTACCAGGTAATTGATACACCAGGGATTTTGGACCGCCCATTTGAAGACCGTAACATTATTGAGATGTGCAGCATAACAGCTTTGGCTCACTTGAGAGCTGCGGTCTTGTTTTTCTTGGACATCTCGGGGTCTTGTGGGTACAGCATTGCCCAACAGGCAGGTCTTTTTCACAGTATTAAGTCTCTGTTTATGAACAAACCATTGATTATAGTCTGCAACAAAACTGATTTGCAGCCATTGGAGGGTATATCTGAGGAAGACAAGAAGTTGGTCACGGAGATGAAAGCTGAAGCTATGAAGACAGTGATTGGTCAAGGAGGTGAGGCTACCAATGATGAGGGGGTACTCTTAACCATGAGCACTCTGACCGAGGAGGGGGTAATTGCTGTAAAGAATGCAGCTTGTGAGAGGTTGTTGAATCAGAGAGTGGAATTGAAGATGAAATCCAAAAAGATAAATGACTGCTTAAATCGTTTTCATGTTGCAATGCCAAAGCCACGTGACAATAAGGAAAGACCCCCATGTATACCTCAGGCAGTTTTAGAAGCTAAGGCTAAGCAAGCAGCGGAGAAGGAAAAGAGAAACACAGAAAGGGATTTGGAGAATGAGAATGGTGGTGCAGGTGTATACTCTGCCAGTTTGAAGAAGAATTATATCTTAGCTAATGATGAATGGAAAGAGGATGTCATGCCAGAAATTCTTGATGGGCACAATATTTACGACTTTGTTGATCCTGATATTTTGCATAGGCTTGAGGAATTGGAACGAGAAGAAGGACACCGTCAGGCAGAGGAGGGTGATGATGATTTTGAGATGGATGGATTGGAATTGTCTCCAGAAGAGCAAAAGACATTGGCTGAGATAAGGAAAAAGAAAAGCTTGCTCATTCAACAACACAGAATCAAGAAAAGTACAGCAGAGAGTCGACCAACTGTACCAAGGAAATTTGACAAGGACAGAAAGTTCACAACAAAGCGAATGGGGAGGCAGCTATCAAAGTTGGGACTTGATCCAACTGAGGCAATTAACCGAGCTCGAAGCAGATCTGTCTCAACCAGGGGCCGGAAGAGGGAGAGATCACTTGACAGGGATGATACTGATGGTGGTCATGCTATGGATGTAGATACACCCAACAAGAAGCAACGCATGTTATCTAGATCCCGTTCGAGGTCAAGATCAAGGCCTCCAACTGAAGTTGTCCCTGGAGAGGGATTCAAGGACTCTGCTCAAAAGGCTAAGGCACTACAAAAGGCCAATAAATCTAATAAGATGAGAAACAAGAATGCTCGTCGTGGAGAGGCAGATAGGGTCATTCCCACTTTAAAACCAAAGCACTTGTTCTCTGGAAAAAGATCAATTGGAAAAACTCAAAGGCGTTAAAATATTTGAGGTACTCAGACACATTGCATCACTTTCAGTTCAGCTTGTCTTTGTTTGGAGTACTCATTGGAAACAGTTATATATGTTGATTTTCCTTGTTCTCAGACCAGATTTAGGGATGCGTATGCTTTGTGCATATCACATTGTTTTTGGGACCAATTGCATTCTATTTTTTGTGTCTGTTACATGCATACCTCATCAACTTGCGCACCCATGTATCGGATGGAGATGTGTGAGAATAACATTCTCGTAGCTACCATTAGGAAATGCTAGTGTCATATTTATCATTAAAATTAATCTCCTGTTCTGGGGTGTTGATTTCACTTAACTATTGAAGGTATTAAGACTGAAAATGTATATTTGTCATGTGCTCAATGTTTCTTATGTTTCTGCCAGTAATCAATATACTTTTTCTTCTTGCAGGGAGTTAGGTTTGTGATTTGCTGTATTATGCACCATGGAGTGTACTTGCTGCTGAAAAAGAACTTGGTTCTTTCATCTCTGGTTCGGCAGGAGATTGCAGCACTCGAGATCATGCAACCAGAGTCTCACAGTTTCCTTATTTTTCAGTTCTGTTTTTGTTTAGGAAATTTTGGATCCGAGGCATGCCTCAGTTACAGTATTTTGAGTGGATTTGGATTTACAGACAAATAGTTGTCTTTACCCTTTGCTTTTGTAATTTTCTCGTTTGACGATATGTGAAACTTGGCCCAAGTTAAATTGCCATTTGTTTGTTTTATTCATCTTCGAGCGTAGTTTAAGATATTGTAACTTCTTGTTATCAAGTGCGGGATTGGATTCTGCAACTTCCTGCAACATAAGAGTGATGAAGCATTTTCATTAAACGTGGGCGATTTAACAAATTCTGAGCTATTTTTAAGATCCAGTTATGTTGGCCTTTCTAATACTCGGGTTTTTTCTTTAATTTCTAGTTTTTATTCTCTTATTGTTCACTTTCCTCATGTTGCAAGTGCAGTTTTGTGATCAATGAAATCAGAACAGAGGTTGCCTGCATTTCCTCAAAGGTCATGCTTTTCTGTAGAGAAATGTTTCATTCTTTCTTTCTGCGGTGGAAATAAAATGAGAGTCGAGAAGTTATTTCGTAGAAGAGTTGCTTTGTTGGCCCATTTCGATGCTCAATATTCCTTCTCTTGCCTAACGCATCTTATTTTTCAGATTATGAATCAGTACTGTTACAAACGTATAGAGGATGGCTCTCCATATCTATCTAGCATAGGAACTCGTCACATGATAGATGATCTAAAAACAAACGAATGCTCCAAGTGGAAGAAGAAAAAGAAAAGAATGCCAATGTGTTTCAATATTTTCTATGTCCTATTAGGGCTAACAACAGAAAGAAAACAGCTACTTTACAGGAAATGCAATAATGTATTGTGATCATCCTATGGAGAGATGGATGGATCAACCTCTATCCGACTACATCCGGGCAGTTTCTTCAACCCCATCCGTCTCATTTCATCACGAACCTTATTAGCATCGTCCCATCTATCTTGATTAGCGTACGTATTCGACAATAGAGCATAAGTTCCAGTGCTTACTCCTCTACTCTTGAGGAGATCATCCCTGACCCTCTCAAACATCTTCTCATTCCCATGAATCTTGCAAGCATTTAGCAGTGCTCCCCAAACAGAGCCGTCTGCTTTCATTGGCATTTCTTTAATGAAACCCTCTGCTTCCTCCAAGAACCCTGCTCGGCCATACATATCAACCAGACATGCGTAATGCTGTGTTTTAGGGACAATCCTGTAAACATCTTTCATAGCATTAAAGAATATCAACCCTTGATCAACTAGGCCTGTATGACTGCATGCTGATAACAAGCCAAGGAAGGTCACATCATCAGGAGGAATCCCGTGGACTAGCATAAGCGAAAAGAGCTGCAATGCATGCACACCATGGCCATTCATGGCCATGCCGCTTATGATGGTACTCCAGGAAATGATATCCTTGCAATCCAGGCCTTTAAAAACTGAAATCGCCATACCCACATCGCCACACTTGACATACATGTTGATTAAGGCATTTCCTACATTGCCGTTCACCATGAGATCTGGCCGCATACTTACATAGTTATGCACCCACTGCCCTAAACTCAATGCCCCAATCGAAGAACATGCTGACGATGCGTTGACAATGGTAGCCTCATTAGGCACAGCTTCTCCTCTTTGCACCATTTGTTGGAAAAGCCTCACTGCCTCTTCACAAAAGCCTCTTTGTGCATAACCACCCACCACGCTAGTCCAGGAATACACATCTCTCTTAGGCATATTTACAAACAGGTACCTAGCACTCTCCAGAGACCCACATCTCAAATAGAAATCTAACACTGCATTGTCCAAAATAATATTCCTTGCACGTAAATTCCTCAGACAATAGCCATGAACAGCTTTACCAAACTTGAAAGCTCCTAAACTTGAACAAGCAGACATAACAATGACAAGAGTAGCATAATTAGGCTCCATGTCCATGGACATAAACTTAAGAATTGCTTCCTCTACAAAGCCACACTTAGCAAGACCCGAAATCATCGAAGTCCAGGAAACAACATCTGGGAGTGGTATCGAATCGAAAACCCGGGTAGCGGAAACAATGTCAGATTGAATTAGGTAGAAATGGAGCATTGAGTTTTGGATGAAAGTATCGGAAAAGTGACCGGATTTGAGGACGTGGGCATGGATTTCTTGGGCTTTATTGCGTGCATGTAGCAAGCAACAAGCCTTGAGAGCATAAGTGAAGGTGTAGTGGTTATGGGAAGTTGGGTGGTGGAGCATTTGGTTGTAGAGGAAGAAGGCATTTTGTGGGGTGGGGGAGTTTGTTAGGTGTCCCAGTAAAGGGTTTAAGAGTTGGGGTTTTGGGTTTTTGATGAGTAGGGCATGGATTTGGTTTAGTGGTTGTCTCATTGTAAGATGAATACATGGTCATGAATCGCCTGAGATAATTCACCGGAAAAAAAAAAAAAAAAAAAAAAACATACGCCTGGCAAGCCAACAAAACGCGAGGAAGAAGATGGCCCAATTTATTTATTTATTTTTATAACCTAGCAGAGGACGACGTCGTCTGGCCAAAAGCCTTTATTAAAGTTTTAAGGCTAAATTATTGAAATGCCTCCTGTAACTCAATTTCAGTCTCAGTTTCCTCCTTGAAACTCTAAGGCCCCGTTTGGTTCACGGAATGGATTTGAAGGGAAATCAATTTCCATGTCATTTCCTAAGGAATGGGAATGAAGATTCATTTCCTATGTTTGGTAATGTCAAGAAAGTAACCGTGAGATTTCACTTTGTTTCTTTTCCCATGTTTGTTTTGAGTAGGAATGAAAAACAAATTTTGTATAATTTTTCAATTATACCCATATTAAATCAAATAAAAAAAGAATGTATTTAATGATACATTGTAATTTTAAATTGTTCATGGGGACAAAATAGTCATGAAAATTGTGCATTGAATGTTGGCTCATTTTCCCAAACTTTCCCATAAGGAGGGAAAACAAAACCCAAGTTGAGAGGAGGGTTTCACTTTCCCCCTTACTTTCCCATGTACTAGGCAACCATTTCCCATGCCTGGACTTACCAAACATGGGAAAGCAATTGAATTCCCATTCCTAAGCCTCTTTTCCCATGAACCAAACGGGGCCTAAGTGTCTCACTTTACCCCCTGAAACTCCATATATTGTCTCACTTTGCCTAGATTCCGTCCAGCCCTAACAGAAGTCGTCAAATCTTAACCCGCCAAAAATAACCTTCCCTTACAAATTCAGATACTCTCTGAATCTGCAACTACACCCAGACTCATTTGCAAAACCAAACCCTTCACCAAACTCCAAGAAACAAAGAACAACCTCCGACAATGGCGGCAGCCCAACTCCTTCTCTCTCTCATCGTCCTCTCAGTTCTCTCTCTCTCCTCCGCCCTCCCCGCCCAAACCCTCGTCAATGCCGCTGAAATCCTTTCAGATTTCGACTACACCTCCATGGCTCTGACCCTCGACCTCGCCTCTCAAGCCCTCCTCCTCTCCTAATCTTCTTCTCTCACCATCTTCGCCCTCACCGACACCGCCTTCTCTCACTTCGGTCAGCCATTGCTGAACCTCCTGCAATTCCACATCATCCTCATTTATTTCTCTCTCCGATCCCTTAAGTCCCTACCTTTCAGCACCAAGATCTCAACTTTACTCTCCGACCGCTTTCTCTCCGTCACCACTTTGGCCTATGACCCCAAAGTCTCACTCAACAACGTCCCCATCACTGTTTCCCTAATTTTCGATGATGGGTTGTTGATAATTTTCTGAATTGATAGGTTCTTGGAATGCGTTGAGTTCGAAAGGGTGCCCCGTTATGGCTTCGCTTCTTGAAATGCAATTTCATGGATTTTTCTTCAAGTACCAGACCATGATGACTGTGTTTGCTCCATTTGACAGTCTTGATGAACCGAGTTGGGAACTTGAGTGAGCAATCCTCCATCTTTCATCGCCATGTGGTGCCCTTTGGGCTTTTGTGGAGCGATTTGGTGAGTTTCAATGATGGGACGGTGTTGAGGACTAATCTGATGGGGTTTACAAACAATATCACTCGATCCCAAGACGTGTTAATGCTCAATGGTGTCTCGGTCATTTTTTCAGAAGTGTATCACAATGGCTGGTTTTCGATTCACGGAATCAGTAAGGTTCTTGAGGTTCCACATAGAACAGAGAAACTATGGCTTCATTTTTCTAGGGACAGAAGAACCTAGAAAAACCGCACATGGGCCTCACGTGTGCAAATTTAACGACTTCTATTAGGGCTAGATGGAATCTCGGCAAAGTGAAACAATATATGGAGTTTCGGGGGGGAAAGTGAGACACTTAGAGTTTCAGGGGGGAAACTGAGACTGAAATTGAGTTACAGGGGGCATTTCAATAATTTAGCCAAGTTTTAATTGAGAAAAGCCTTTATTAAAGTTTTAATTGAAGCGCATGTTTTGATTATAAAGGAAGGGCAGCTCGTTTACCTTGGATTATGGACTAAAATATCAATAAGATCGCTTTTAAATTTGGCTTATTTCCTTCAAATTCAATTTGCCTTAACTGTAACCCTTCACTGTTTGTTTCTATAAATAATACCCAATTTTTATCAACCAAAACCCATGACTGGGATTCAACTTATCAAGTTACCTTATTAAGCTCAATATCTGATTTAATATAATTTTAAGGTTCTCAAAATACGCTTATTTACAATTCAAGATGTAATAGGATTGTGTTTTAATTTTTGGTTCCCTAATTTATTGTGGTGATTCCCTCTAGAGTTTTTATTTGCAATTAATTATCGGTTTTGATTATGGGGTTGATTGGCATATTCATACATTTTGATTATGGTTTTAGTTTGGAGATTGACTGAATACCAAATATTTATAAGGATAAAGAGAGTGGATTAGGATTTATACATGATTCTGTATATATATATATATATGTTTAACTGTATACTCTTATATAATGATCATAGTTGAGTCCTGTTGGCTGCGCAAATCTCACGGCCTGGTGCTCCGGGCCGAGGGGATGTGCGTCAACACGTGACGTCTTTCTTTTGGATGCGGTGCGGTTGTGCGCGGGCGTGCTAGCACGGTCTACCGTACGTCGAGATGGTGATGAGGTTTGGGTATAAGATGGTTAAATGATGCGCCTGTTTTGCGTTCAACTCCTAATCAAACGATTGTGGCCGAGAGAGGAACTGATCTCGGCCGTCAGGTTCACGACCTGAGCTACAAGGTTATTTAGTGGGGGTGTTGGTGGCGGGTTTTAGGCGATGCTCCGGCGCGTTGCTCAGAGAGCGACGGTCGTATGATATATGGGGTGAATGAGATGATAACAGAGATAGTGCTCCGACGCCTTGAAAATCAAGGGTCGTATGATATATTGATGAATGGATTTTCCTTACAATCTACCACTACTCCTAGGAAAGCAAATAAAGGTATTGAAAGTGTATTACAGGAACGCATTTAATGCCCTGGTCTGGTGGTTGGTGATCTGACCTCAAGTTGTAAGATTACTTGTGATAATGTTTGCGCCTAACCATTCTGATTTCCATCATCAAATCCTGACTTCAGTCACTTCCCTTCTTCCCTTGTGCATTAAATGCTTCTTGCGACTAGTGGGTTTGCTGCGATAGTCAGAGGCATTACTTCATTAAATGGGGCGTGGGACCCTGGGGCCACGTGGCGATTTAACCACAGTATCTTCAGCCGTGTCTTTTACGGCCTTCGGCCTACAATACTGCGGTTGCGAGGCCGAGAGGATTCTGCCTTTGCAGTTTTCTTTTGTTTTCAGGAAGGCGAAATGCCTAACGAAACGGTAGGTGCTAGGACCGAGAGGAAGTCCCTTCAATCAGTTTATGACCGTGATTTATTAGGCACAAACAAGTCCATGTTTGTTAGTTCGATAGGTAACTTATTTGACGTTTTTCATTTCGTAATATAGCAATGTGTTTTCAATATGAGGTTCATGTCTGTGAACTGTATACCCTGTGGAGTATTGGAGTCCGGACTAAGCAAACTTATCTCAATTTAGTTTAGTTTAGTTTTTTTTAAATCTTTATGCTCGTATTTATTTATTTATTTCATTTTTGGTATTGAGTCATCATCTTGTTATCTTTTTGCTATTCAAGGTGAGTACATTCATGATTTAAATGTACGCTTATGCAGATTAGGAAAGAAATAAATTCTTGATAGGCAAGACATGTTTGTTAGTTTGGTAGGTAAACTCCCCCCCATCATCAATTGGCATTGTTCTTTTGTCTCAGGTTGTCCACACTTGCATTCTCTTTTTCTGTTGTGCAGTTCATCCATTCGATAATATTACGAGTTCTTTTGTTTTAGGTTGTCCACACTTGCCTTCCTACAAACGCTTTATATATATATATATATTTATTGTTACATGATGCTGCATTTTTTATTATTTTAAATGTTTAGATTGATATTCTTGTACTTTCTTTGCTGCATCAAAATGGAACCTATTGTATTTGGAAGATGTGTGTTTAAGGATAAGACTGTTTCGATTCCACTTCAAAGTGACTGTACTCTAATGGTTTTCGATTATGATATATGTTCAAGATTTAATGAGCTCAAGGTTGGGGCTTTTGAGATGACTTACCTCGTGTCGGATCATCCTCCATTTGTACTAGAGACCGACTTAGATGTGCGTGTTATTTATCTGTCATTGATGAACGAGAAGAAATATACAATTACAATTGCTATTAAGGAGTGCCTGTTGCTTGACAAGCAAAACGGTGTTGATGATGTGTTTATTGGTGAAGGTATACACATACTGCTGAGAACGATTTCATTGGAAAATATGCAGTACCATATGGTCATACATAGTTCTTTCATTCATGGAAGAACTACATCAATCATGTGGGCCAGAAGTTTACAGGTGGGGTTATTGAGTTTATAGAAAAATTGTGCAAGTATGCCATTGAGAAAGGTTAAGGTAGGGTATCTTAAAAATGAAAAAGTGAGAGTGACTACCCAGTATTCTAAACAAGTGTCTGATGGTTGTAGTTGGCGTGTGCATGTGTCATTATGTCCTGCGAATTGGCTTTTTTTTAATACATTTGGAGCCTGAACAACGAACACACCTGCAACGGACTCATCCGTGAATGTAAGAGAAGCATGATGTCTTCAAAAATTGTGTCCTCCATTTTGGTCAACCAAATTCAATCTAAACCGTTGATTAAACTGATTGAAATTTGCAAGGATTTCAAGAAGAACTATGGGTTGGACTTTTCTTATCACAATGCATGGTATGGTAAATAATTAGCAAAGAAAAGGGTCCATGGTAATGAGCCATTGTCATATAAACACTTAGCTTGGTACATGGGAGTTGTGTTTAGCTCAAATCCTAGTTCACATTGTATGTTGGAGTATGACCCAAAGACATCCCGATTCAAAAGGTTTTATTTTTATTTTTATTATATTTATTCTGCTTCCATGCTTACATAGAAGGATTTAGATTTTGCA